CACAAGATAGTTGTTAGTGGATCTCCATTCCAACATGAGGATGTGGTTTGATCACGCATTGTCCACCATTACCACACCTTTGCTCAAGTGGCTGTTTTCTTATGGATGATTTAATGTGCCCATGATTTCTGAGGTCTCCGGGAACTTTGGATAAAAACCAAATATCCAACTAAGCACTAGGCCATTTGCTCATTTGGTGAAGTCTGGGGGTGAGCCTCTTTCTCCCTATCGTTAGTACACCCAGTGTGGCCATATCTGTGTCTCCAAGAATACACTACTGTGGAATCTTGGCAAAATGTTGACACTTCCTCTTTCCAACCACCTTGCTAGGACTTTGGTGCTGCCATACACACAGGCTTCTCTGCAGGACATAAAACCACAAGATAATTGTTAGTGGATGTCCATTTCAACAGCACCCAGGACCTGGGTCCATCACGCATTATCCACCATTAGCACACCTTAACTCAAGTGGCTGCGTTATTATGGATAATTTAACATGCCCATGATTTCTGAGGTCTCTGGGAACTCTGGATGAAAACCAAATATCCAACGATGCTCAGGATCTTCCTGGACAAGCCATATGGAACTCTGGTTTCACTGGACAAGGAACCTTCAGGACCTGGGAATCAGGCCCAGGACAATTTCTCATCATTACGGGGGACACCCTCCAACCTGGAACACATACCACTGTCCCACCATCACTTGGGTAACTGAAAACTTGAGGTGAGTGATAGTCTCTAAAAGGTTCCAAGGGTTTGAGTCCTATGGGTGAGCGCCCCTCTCCCAGCAGAGCTCAGTCCCCTCTGGGTATACAGATGAGTGTCCCATCAACAACCAGTGCTCAGTGTTCTCTGTGTCCTCTTCCAGATCTCCTCCCACCATCCTTTGCTCAGTCTCCTCTGGGTCCTGTGCCTGAGCGCCCCTCACCTAGCAGTGCTCAGTGTTCTATTGCTCAGTCTCCTCTGAGTCCTGTGGGTGAGCATCCCTCACCCAGAAGTGCTCTGTCTCCCCAGGGACCTGTGTGTGCCCTTTGGAGTTTTACTGCTGACCCAGCAGTGCTGAGGTTTCTCTGTGTCCCCTGGGCGCGTGCCCTTTGTCAAGAAGTTCTGGACACAAGATGGCTGCGCCCAGCGAAGTAGAGGCCRCGCTGGGGGTTTGCTGAGGCTGGCTCCCTCTCCCATTCCCTCTTTGGGCGTCCAGCGCTGCGAGCAGGAGGACGGGGGCCGGGTGGGGACAAGGGCACCTGCGTAGCTGGACCACTAGAGGGCGCCCAGCCAGCGCCGCCCCCATGGCCAGGCCCAACCCGATCCCATCCCATTGTTTCCCTGTCTCCTCCCTGTCTGACCCACTGCCAGGTGGTGGTATGCCACACCAGGCCTCCAAAGCCGAGGTCTCTCCTCCAGACTGTCCTCACCTTCACTTCAGAGATGTTTGGCTTCTTCCCTCCCAACCAGCCCTCCTTCAAAACCGGGACTCCTGGAGCAGCATCTGACCCCCTTTCCCTCTATTAAGACCCCCTTCTCTCTAGCCCACTTTTTCCTTAGATCTTCGTTCCCCTGAGTTGGAGACTGTTCACTTCCCTTCCAAATTCATTCCTGATCACCCAAAATATTGACAACCTTGACAGCACCCTCAACTGAGGAGCCAGCCTTTCTTTTGGACTGACCTCCATATCCCTATCATGGAGGCTGTGTATCTGGTAGTGAATTTGGCGGGCCTGGTGCTGGACATGCTGACCTTGGTGTTGGATCTCAACTTCTTGCTGGCATCCTCCCTCCTGGCTTCCCTGGCCTGGCTCCTGGCCTTCATCTACAACCTGCCGCACACGGTACTGCCTAGTCTTCTGCACTTGGGCCGAGGTGTCCTGTTTTCACTGCTGGCCTTGATGGAAGCCTTGGTTCCTTTCACCTTTGGGGGCTTGCAGGCCTTGTGTACTCTGCTGTATAGCTGCTGCTCTGGCCTTAAGAGCCTGAAGCTCCTGGGGCACCTGGCATCTCATGGGAAACTATGGAGCTGGGAAATACTGCACAGGGGTATCCTCAATGTGGTCTCCAATGGCCATTCTTTGCTGCGCCAGGCCTGTGACATCTGTACTATTGCTATGGGCCTGGTGGCCTATGTGATCAACAGCCTGGTCAACATCTACCTCATTGGCACTCAGAACCTCTTCTCCCTAGTGCTGGCCCTCTGGGATACAGTTACGGGCCCTCTGTGGAGGATGATGGAGGTAGTGGCTGCCTTCCTGGCCCATATTTCCAGCAGTGCTGTGGCCATGGCCATCCTCCTTTGGACCCTCTGCCAACTAGTATTGGAACTGCTGGCCTCAGCTGCCCGACTCCTGGCCAGCTTTGTACTTGTCAATCTCACTGGCCTAGTGTTACTGGCTTGTGTGCTGGCAGTGACGGTGACTGTGTTGCACCCAGACTTCACCCTGAGACTGGCCACCAGAGCACTCAGTCAGCTTCATACCCGGCCATCCTACCGTCGACTGCGAGAGGAGGTTGTGAGGCTGACTCGCCTAGCCCTGGGCTTGGAGGCCTGGCGCCAAGTGTGGAGCCGCAGCCTAAGGTTGGCAAGCTGGCCATACCGGGGAGGGGCACCAGGGGCCCCTCAGGGTGGCCCTAGAAGGGTATTCTCAACCAGGACCCAGGAACAGGACACTCTTTCTGAAGCAGGGCCCAGATCAGAGGCAGAAGAGGAGGAGGTCAGTACCATAAGAGTGGCACCTGCCCGGGGCCGGGAGAGGCTCAATGAGGAAGAGTCTTCAGCTGAGCAAGACCCGTGGAAGTTGCTAAAGGAGCAAGAGGAGCGGAAGAAGTGTGTCATCTGCCAGGACCAGAGAAAGACTGTGCTGCTTCTGCCCTGCAGGCACCTGTGCTTGTGCCAGGCCTGCACTGAAATCCTGATGCGCCACCCTGTCTACCACCGCAACTGCCCACTTTGCCGCCGGGGTATCCTGAAGACCCTCAATGTCTACCTCTGAAGACTCCCTCCCTGCCTGTATACTCTCCACGCTCCACACAGGCACCTGCTCTGGGACAGAATTAACACCTCACTGCTGGGTCCTGGCCTGAAATCCTCTGCCCTTTGGTTGTCCTGCTAAGCCTGAAGCTATACATCCAGAACATGGAGATGGGACACTCTGGAAGTCTTTGATCTGGGGGGCAGGGCAACATAGCTTCTCTGTACCCAGTTGGGTTCCTTTGATGCTGAGGGTGGTGAGTATGTCACTATGCAAAGGTTCTGAGACTGTGTGCTGTGGGTTCTCCTCCAACCTGCCCAGGCGCACCCACATACCAGCCTCTGGGGCTACCTGTCTCTGCTTCTTCTGGTTTTCCAGTTGGAGATTTATAGGTACTCCCCTGCCTCCTTCCCACTTTTCCCCCAGCTTCTGTAGCACAAAACATCAGTGTCACTTGGATATTTTGGCAACTCAGGGGCCTTGGAATGATCTTGAACTTTTGTGTTCATCCAGAGCCCCTGTGCCCTGGTAGGTTTGGGGGTGGAATCTCTCAGGTGCCCTTAGAGCCACTTCTGCCTGTCATGATCGGAAGAGGCTCTCTCCCAACCCGATACAAAAGCTGGGATCAGTTTACCTCTGGGAGGGGTGTGCATCTGCACCTGATCTGGGGACCATGTAACCTCGGGCACCCCAGCTCCACAGGGAGCCTCAGGAGGGATAACCAGATTTCTACTCATTCCCCTTTTATTCCTCACTTTACATAGAAAAAATGGCATTCCTCTTTGTCTCTCCCTGACATTAGGGAGAGCAACTGTGCACATTTCACTAGGGTCCAAACAGAAGGGGCCAGGGCTTAGGGGCATGCAGCTCCCTGAGGGGTCTGTTGCCAAGTTTCCAATGAATAAAGTGCTCTTGACAGCTCAAAAAAAAGAAAAGTTCTTGTTCTGCTCTGCGATCTGTGGGTGAGTGCTCCTCACTTAACAGTACTCAGTCTCCCCTTGTCCTCTGTCATGTTCCCCTAGCCAAGGCTCCTCAGGCCCCTCTGGGTTCTCTGGGTTAGCATTCCCAGCCCATAAATGCTCAGTATCCTCTGGCTCTTGTGATTGAGCACCCCTCACCTAACAGTCCTCAGTCTCCCAAGTGTCCTGTGCTGTGGTCCCCTAGCCCATCCTTCCTCAGTCTTCTTGGAATTTGTGTCGAAGCACCTCTCGCCTGAAAGTACTCAGACCTCTCTAAATCCTGTCTTAATCTCCCCTCACCCACCATTGTTCAGGGCCCTCTGAGTCCTGTAGCTGAGTGCCCCTCACCCAGCCGTGCTCAGTCTCCTCTGGGTCTTGTGGGTGACTGCCCTTCGCCTAAGAGTGCTTATTCTTCTGTGGGTGCTCTCTTTAAGCTCACCGCACTCACCTCTGCTCAGCATCCTCTGAGCCTTGTGGGTGAGCGCCCCTTGCACGAATTCTCAATGTCTTCTGGATGTTTGGGGGTAGGCGCATTTTAACCACCAGGGCTCAGTCTCCCCTGAGCTCTTGGCCTCTTGGTTCATTTAGTGACCTTTTGGGTAACATCCCTTCCCTGATGAGATTCATAGGCCAACTGTGGCCTCACCTGAGTTTCACTGCGAACATAAAGGTGAAATATTGGAGAATTGTTATACTGTCTCTTTCCCACAACCTTGCTTGGCCATTGGTGCTACTGTACAGAGGGGCTTCTCTCCGATTCCTGAAACCACAAAGTATCTGTTAGTGCACCTAACAGCGTGCAACAGCGCTGAGGACCTGCTTCAATCACTCGTGGTCCACCGTTACCACACCTGTGCTCAAGTGGCTGACCTCTTATGAATGATTTAACCTGGCCAGTATTCCTAAGGTCCCTGTGGGGACCAGWGCATGAAAACCAACTTTCCAAATATGGTCTGGATCTTCCCTGACATGCCACTGGGCTCACTCTTTTCACCAGAGAAGCAGCCATCTAGGACTATGGATCAAAAACAATTCTGCTCGAGAGGATCAGGTGACCTGTGGCCAAGGACAATTCCTCCTCATCAAGGAGGACTTCCTCTGACCTGTGAAAAAGCAACATTGTGCACCATCCCTGAGGTACTTGAAAACTTGAGGTGAGGGCTACTCTCCGTCAGTTTCCCAGGGCTCTGAGTCTGTGCATGAGCGCTCCTCTCCCACCATGGTTCATCTGCTCTGACTTCTGTGAAGGACTGCCGCATYACCACACAGGGCTCAGTCTTCTCTGAGTTCACTCTGAATCTCCCCTCAACAATCATTGCTCAGCCTCCTCTACGTCCTGCGCATGAACGTACCTCTCTCAGCCTTGCTCAGTCTCCTCTGGGTCTTCTGTGGAGTGCTACTTGCCCCTGGAACCTGTGATATGTTTTCCTCACAAAACATTCCTCAGTCTCTTCTGTGTCCTCCAGGAGAGGGCTACTCTCCTCATAAAACTCAGTATGCTCTGGGTCCTGTCCTTTATTTTTATACATTCACCATTGCTCAGAGTCTTTCTGGGTCCTGTGGGTGAGGCCCCCTTGCCCACCATTGCTCAATCTCATCTGGGTCCTCATGTTGAGCATCCCTTGTTGTTCTGTGCTCACTCTCACCTGAATCTTGGTGGTGAGTGCCCCTGGCCCTCCAGAGCTATCTCTCCGGTCATGAAGGTGATTGTCCTTTGCACATCAGGTCTCCGTTTCCTCTGGGTCCTGTGGGGTAGCGCCCTGCACCTGACAGTCCACAGTCTACTCTGGGTTCTGTGCTATGTAGCCCTAGCCAAAAATGCCTCAGTATCCTTTTTGTCTTCTGAGTGAGAGCCCATCACCCATCAGTGCCCACCCCCTTGGGTCCTATAGATGAGTACACCTCGTCTAGCACTGCTCTTTCTTGTTGGGTTGTCCTGAATCTCGTATTACCTACCATTGCTCAGGGTCCTCTGAGTTCTGTGGTGCACGCCCATTGCCCAGCCATTAGCTTCTCCTCTGACTACTGCGGCTGGCTACCCTTAGCCCAACACTGCTCCGTGTCCTCTGAGCCCTAGGCCAATGGGTTCATTTGGTGAAGTCTGTGGGTGAGCCTCTCTCCCGCTACCATTAGTACACCAACTGTTGCCATATCTGAGTTTCCAAGAACACACTAGTTTAGAATTTTGGCAAAATGTTGATATTTCTTCTTTCCAACCACCTCACTGGGCCTTTGGTGCTGCCATGCACACAGGCTTCTCTCCAGGGCCTAAAACCACAAGATAATTGTTAGTGGATCTTGATTCCAACAGCACCGAGGACCTGGTTCCATCATGCATTGTCCACCATTAGCACATTTTGCTCAAGTGGCTGTGTTCTTATAGATAATTTAACATTCCCATGATTTCTGAGGTCTCTGGGAACACTGGATGAACACCAAATATTTGACGATGCTCAGGATCTTCTTGGACATGCCACTGGGCATTCTCATTTCATCAAACAAGCATCCTTCCAGGACCTGTGGATCAAGACCCAGGACAATTTCCCATCATTACAGAGGACTTCCTCCAACCTGAGAACACACACCACAGTCCCACCTTCACTTGGGTAACTGAAAAGTTGTGATGAGTGATAATCTCCAAAAGGTTCCAATGTTTTGAGTCCTATGGATGAGCACCTGTCTCCCAGCAGAGCTCAGTCTCCTTTGGGTATATGGGTGAGTGTCCCATCAACAACCAGYGCTCAGTGTTCTCTGTGTCCTCTTCCAGATCTCCTCCCATCATCCATTGCTCGGTCTCCTCTGGGTCCTGTGCCTGAGCGCCCCTCGCCAGTCAGTGCTCAGTCTTCTCTCTCTGTTCTCTCCTCTACCTCCCCTCTCCCACCATTGCTCAGGCTCCTCTGAGTCCTGTGGGGGAGCACCCCTCACAAGTCAGTGCTCAGTCTCCTCTGGGTCCTCTGGGTGATCACCCATTTCCCACCACTTCTCCATCGCCACTGAAACATGGGGGTGAGAGCCCCTTTCTGTCTGGTGCTCTGACCCTGGGTCCTGCAGGGCACTGCCACATGCCCAGCAGTGCTCAGTCTCCCCTGGGCCCTCTGTGTCCTTTGGGGTTTTGCCGCTGGCCCTTGCACAGCAGTTCCCAGGCTTCTCTGTGTCCCCTGGGTTCAGGCCCTTTGCCAAGCAGTCCTGGGTCCGCTCTGTGAACTGTGGGTGAGCGCCCCTCACCTAACAGTGCTCAGTSTCTTCTTGTCCTCTGCTGTGTTTCCCTAGCCAGGATCCTCAGTCCCCTCTGGGTTCTCTGGGTTAGCATTCCCCTCCCCTCAGTGCTCAGTCTCCTCTGGGTCCTGCGGGTGAGCGCCCCTCCCCTAACAGTCCTCAGGCTTCTCTGTGTCTTGTGCTGTGTTCCTCTAGCCAATCCCTCCTCACTCCTCTTGGAATCTGTGGCTGAGCACCCCTGACCTAAAAGTACTCAGTTCTCTGGAATCCTGTCCTTAATCTCCCCTCACCCTCCATTTCTCAGGGTCCTCTGAGTCCTGTGGGTGAGTGCCCATCACCCACCAGGGCTCAGTCTCCTTTGGGTCTTGTGGGTGAGGGCCCCTTACCTAACAGTCCTCGGTGTTCTCTGGGTCCTGTGCGATATTCCCTTAGCCAACTATTTCTCAGGGGCCTCGGGCCTTGTTGGTGAGTGCTCTTTGCCTAAGAGAGTTCATTATTTTGTAGGTCCTCTCTTTAAGCTCAGTGAGCTCACCATTGCTCAGGGTCCCCTCAGCTTCTCGGTGAGTACTCCTTGCCCAAAAGTTCTCAATATCTTCTGGATATTTGTGGTGGGTTGTCTAACCCACCAGGGCTCAGTCTCCTCTGAGCCCTAGGCCATGTGGTTTATTTAGTGGCCAACTTTGGCCTTAGCTGATTTTCACAGCAAACACGATGGTGGACTCTTGTAGAACTGTCCATACTCATGCCTCACTTGGCCTTTGGTGCTATTTTACAGGGGCTTCTAACTAATTCCTGAAACCACAAGATAACTGGTAGTGAATCTCAATTGCATTAGCACTGAGGACC